CCTAATAGAATAAAAGGGCTTCAGGAGTACTGACCGGCAGAGATAAATTGGCGCTCAGAACTACGTGGCTCGTTTCTCCACAGGACACCGACAATGTTAAGTTTATCAGGGCTCACGATTAATATCACCAACATTCCCCAGCTTAGACAACAACTTTAAATCTATTCAATGACTGTCTTATTTCCGGATTGAAACGATTGCATTGTACACTCATCGGTGGTGACAATCTGCCCTTAAGCGCATAGCCTTTACCTACCACGATCCAGCCTAAATCTGAGCACCTACTTTACACCCCAAATAACTCCTTCGTCTATTTTGGTTCCTCCTCGTTACGTACTGGTCAGGGTTGGGAGGGTAACTTCGCGGTTAGGACTCGCGCGGAACACTTCCTGTCGCCTGTGAGCGTCTGCGATCTCACCTCCACGTCAACCAGAAGATGAAAATATTAGTCTGATGTTATGGTCAAGGACATCAGGTTCTGTAGGTATAAAACCTCGTCCGGACATACTGTAGGCATGAGGAGAGAACGCACCTTCAGAGAATAATGCGGGTTCTGCATGCACAATAAATTTCTGGAACTTCATGCCGGTGTTGTACTAAAGGATAGTACTAAGGGCTGTGCACCTCTCTGGCTCAAAAGAGTGTCCCGCAGCAACCGTGCTACCAGTACAATGGGTTGAGTTCTGGCACCCCAAAACCCTTTTAAAACGTCTCAAAATCCGATACCGGGACTGTGACATGGCGACCGTGAACCGCCAATAAATAAGCATTTGACCGAATACGCTATAGGCGACAACCTCGGAAAGACATCCCGACCGACTGTTGGAGACTTGCCCGTACTCAGGATTTCCAAGAAACCTCATTAAAATATGTCTGATTATAGCACTATGATGGAGGAACCGATGTACGCTGCAACCCTAGGCCAGCGGGTCAATAGCATGCGAGCCGAACTACAAAATCGCGACGGTCACTTGGTATTGGAATGTGCGAACGTTACTATAGCCTGGTAGTTAAAGCCTGAGGTACAATCGTGGAACAACCCATGACATCATCGAAGCTGGCTAGATCACGCATAATCGCAGCCGTCACAAGTGCAATACTCGAAGCCGAGTTTTCTAACTTATATTAGGCGTGGTAGATTTGACGATTGGTGACATTTTTCTCTGCGGGTTTGGCAAACACTTCGACCAGGGAAGCCAATGCGGCGCACCTGCTCAAACAGCTTCCCAGTTTCTCCCTACGGAGAGGACATTTCTGATCCCGAAACTCGAGATAACTATCATAGATAGGAAGGAATTTATGCCGATACGAGCGAAAATGCGAGTCCCAGGAACTAATTGAGAAGAAGTAGATACAATGGCTGGAACTTGTTTGCCCAGCGATCGAATTTGCTGCTTTTAACCTTTCGGCTTACTATGGAGTTTAAGTGAGGCATATGAATAACTATGACAGAGAAACCTTCAGGCTGTCTTGTGTGGTCAATTAAATACTGGACACAGTTATTCAATTGACCTTGTGATTGCCTTGTTGGCCTACAAGCAAGCAAAACGGTTTCGTGAAAAGTGCGATAGAAACTGTCTTAAGGATGCAATATAAAAATCAGGTTGGCAAATACAAAGGATAGCTCCAAGTGCAGGCCCTGATTCATTCGTAATAAAGTCGGGATACGTAGTATTGGAGTAACTTGAAACGGAATTACACGCTAAAGACTGTTTTTATTTGAGTAATGGTAAGTATTCAGACTCAACGTAGCTAACACGACTAAAAAGGTGGGAAAACGCCGTAGAATATGAATTTCTGCATGGTGGTTTTGCAGTAAATAATTCTATATGTTAAATTAAAAAAGAAGGTCTAAATATGCATAAAATATGATAACCAGCCGAAACGAAACTAAGCTCAGAAATCGGTATTTCAGTTCAGTTCTTTTTCTAACACGTTAATTGAAGTAAATTACTCGTGAAAATATATCGTAATTTACTGTACGTCAGTTATGGAAGACAAGAGTCAGACTTGTACAAAAAAAACCGTAGTATGAATTAACAAACATACTTAGAGGTTTGCTCATCGGATACTCGAGAGTGGGTTGGCGGCATACTTGCGTACTAACACAGGCCGATTGAGATCGTTGATGGGAAGCGAGCGGAGAGTATTCGGATTTAAATGGTCGCGCGCTCTCGGGAATCGATAAGGTGTCCATCCTGCCACAGTTGCCCAACTGCTCACTGAGTTTTTGTGCCACACTGGGTATATCATGGGGGCGAAAGGCCGGAAGGTATATTATTGTTGCGAGCATGAACGCCAACCAACCATCAGGCTTGTAGTCCTCTTCCAACAGAATCGGATAGAAAGGCACTCTCTGCTCATAGGCGTAACGCATTTCCTGGCGACAGTGAGGCGAATCCTTAAAAGCCTGACACAGACCCAGTATTAATGCAGAAGCACCCTCAACACCCTCGGCCATTTCATCCACAAATGATCCGTGAGCTAGATGGAGGAGGAATAACTTGTTAGTCGATTGGACAGTTTAGAATAAGTTGCATTACAATTCTCCGTTACCTACGCAATATCGGTTTCAAAAAACATTCCAGTGGTTACGCATTAAAAGGCACGTAGACAGCTCTGGTCAGAATACCACAGGCCGTAGATGTGAGCTTTTATTTCAGCTTGATCCGAGACATAGCAAAAACACTCACCAAGGCTAGACCAACCAAGTTCTTCGAGATACTTTTAAGAAAATCCCTTCAGTTCAGGATTATTCAACCTACATTTGAATTGGCCGGAAAATTCAATTAATTTAGGGAAAATAATAGGGATATATAATACGTCCCGTATCGGTTGTCTACAGTTATGCATCGAACAGATAAGACCTTATGAAATAGGCTGATACTAAAACACCAGTACTGGAAAAAAATGCAAACAGAACATTGAAGGACTCACACATGTGATCAACATCGATCCAAACTTCGTAACCAAGTTTCACAAGCTCCTCTTTCAATCGTACCATTGTTGACTGGGTTGAGTGCTGGTAACTTATCATTATATGGCCATCTGGCCGTCGGATGGGTTGGCCAAATGTAGCCGAGAGGTCCGCTGAGTGTATACCTTCAGTTTGTGAACTTAAATTCCATAGAAGTCCTTGAACGGATTTTTGACATTCTGAGGACCACGACTTGTCACCAAAGCTTTCACAAAAAAGCTTCAATTCCGAAGACGGTGAAAGGTACTCACGGCTTTCAGCGACAAAGCTGAGCTGCCAAATTAGCTCAATTGTCATTGCTGCCAGAGAGTCACATGATACGTAGCTATAGGCTTTTTCAGTAGTACTATCTGTAGAGTCAACCTTTTCGCCTTCCTGGCGTTTCTTTAAATCTTTGGCAATCTGCAAAGCGTACTTTGCCAGATCAAAGGCTTTATTCTTTACTAGGCTCCGTTTGTTGCTGTCTGGACTTGCAAGTTTGTTCAAACTTCGAATAATTTCAGCAGCGTGGTAGCCATGGCTAGAGGAAAAATGAGTCGGAGAAGAATCCAGAGCATCCTTCAACATGGCAAGGACGTGCACCATGTGGGTATCCGTTGCGTGAATTTTCGCGTTTTCCCCTTCATCCACAATTGCAGCTAAAAGGAACAGGGCGGCAGTTCGGCAGGAGAGCACCTCATTCTGGGACGTTTTTTTACAGACAGGTGCGTCCGCAGTAAAAGCAACAAGAATCTGGACTCCATCAAATAGGCGGTAGTCACGCCTTACACAGGGAGAATGGTTTATTATATTATGGAGAATTCCGATGGAGCAGTGAACAAGCAGTCTGGCCTTTGGAAAGCACCAGCAGGTAGGGGCCATTAGTTCAGGGCGGTTAATAAATTCGAACAGGATACGGTGAATGTTCGAAACAGTAAGACGGCAACAAACTTCTGGGCTCTTATCGGTTATGTTCCATAAGGCCATGTGTAGTTTCGTGAATGTGTGCACAGGACGGGTGTTAAGAATTTTTAAGTGCGAAGCCGAGTCATGGGAAATGAGGTACTCGATATAATTTTTGTAAAAAATGACACACTCGTCGGTGTCCACGAGGCTCA